TCAACTAGCCTTAAATTGTTATTGGAAGTGGGTTTGTTCTCTTTCTCTTTCTTCTATTCTGACCTTAACGCTAAAAGTGTCGGAAATATTATTGAATGCTGTTCAAGGGATCGTGATTTTCTCGAGATTTGCATAAAAACCAAATTTAATCGTCGTGTGTTTATTCTTTCCGCGCATGGCCGTAAATACAGGTAATGATGCAGTTGGTCGTAATTCTCTTATTCACAAGTGTGAACCAACGAATTAACTTTAGTTTAACAGTTCCTTTCTTACCATGAAATATCATGGCCACTGCAGTAAATATCATGGTATGCTCGTTTAGTGTAGCCCAGTTCTTGTCCATGGTTGGTGGTGTCGTCTGTCATATAGTTATTGAGAGACAATTTCAGTTGTTTAGATAAACTTTCCTAGTAGTGTTCAAATATTCCAGATATATGTCCGAAATCGTAAGTCTCAAGTAAGTCTTAAGTATTCATTCTCAAATGCACAAAAAATTCTTTTGTTGAAGGTTTAGGGAAAAAACATTTTCTAAATTAACAAATTATAAATTCAAGATTAATTTGATTTCAATATGAATGGTTACTATTAAGGAAGATATACTAATGACCTTTTTATAATTTATAATAATTCTTGTTCTGAATAAATTTACTGCAAAAATTAGTGCAGATACTTTTAAATAAATATCTTAGTTGCATTGAAGGAAACTAAATATTTAGAAACAAAACTAAAATCTCTATTATAAATGTTAAAAACAGAACGGGTAGAATATGCCCACATATTACTTTATGAACTAATGAACATCACTCAGTTTGGTTAAACCATCCATTGGCTGCAGCGCAACTGGGCGTTAATTACTGTGGTTATTTTTGTTTTCTGATATTACATTCTAATTGATATTTTGCGCTTAGTTTTAGTAGAAATATCATATTGTGTTCATTTGGTGCACTTGCTCATTTCCCAGAACAAATAAATTTTGTGAAGTGGAATTGATCCTTTTTCAAATATTTTCGGTTAAGCGATGTTATAGTGCTGTATTACAGCAAATGTATTTATAAGGAATATTAGATAGTTGGTTGTTTTGTTTCGAAGTAGTGATTTTTAAAATTATATTTCGTTGGAAAATTGCTGGGTTTCCTGCTCTGCTTTTCTATAAAACTTTAAAATGTGATTGCATTTACTATTTTTGGAATTAAGTTTCGGTCTTCGTGCTGCATTTATGTTTCCAGAAATTCATAAGCTGAGTAGTTTCAAATTTCATTTAAAATAAATAAAAGCATATTACAGTCTTAATAGGGTATTAAGTAAATGTGGTTTTGGAAGTGCATGAGTAGAATGCATGAGTAACTGAAATGTTATTATTATAATCCAAATTAAATTTTAAACAAAAAGTTTTATTATCCATATGTAAATCACTTAAGCTTATTTGGAAAATGCATATGTATAAAGTCAATTAAATGTCTGGAAGTTTTTTTTTTCTAAATAAACTAAATTTTTTAAATCTGCCAATTTCTTCAACATCTACATATTATCATACAAAAGTTCGGATCCCGTTATTGTTGTATAATAAAGTAGTATAATTATAACTCTGTAAATATTAGGTCTGTTCCACGAGGTACTCATAGTAACACATGAGTAAAACAGAAGTAAAATTTACACAAAAATACTTGAAAATTTGCTGGTGGAACGCGCTTGTGTATACACAGTGTTTACTCAAAGTTACTATGAGTAGCTCGTGGAACAGACCTAGTATTTGTAATACAAATACATTGAATAAAAAGAGAGTCAGTCAAAGTCAGGCTGTCGAGGGTAAAAGACATATCGTTTACTTATTTATATAACTCATATAGTTGTAAAAAATATAACAGTTATCAGGTAATGCTTTCTATACACTAATGCTATAAGTTTATATTTGAAAAATGTGAAATTTATAATTCTCAACAGCTATAAAAGTAAAATTACATAAATCATAATATGGCGAAGTATACTTTTAAGAATTCACTATTTTAATGTATACGCTTTTGATTTTGTACATATTAGTTTGGATTTTAATCAGTATATCCTTTTCCCTATGCTGTTTTATATCATCAAAAGGATTGATCAAAGTCAGTTGGTTTGCAAATGACCAGTTATCCATTTTATGGCTACGTCTTTATGGCCGCAATTTTAAAGTGATTTCATTTAATCCATTACAATTTATTTGCAGCACCTTTAAAGACAAATAAATGGTACTTGGCAAAACGTTGACAAACGTTTGAATGGGTTAACTGTCTTGTAAAGAATATAGTAGGTATTTATAAAGATTATCCATAAATATGGTTTATATTGTTAAGTCTCTTTTTTGTATCTTTCTATCACTTTTGTCTCTTTCTATCACTTTTGTCTCTTTGTACAAAATGATACATATACATTTTGTATGTAACTAAAAAAATACTAATTTAAAATGATATCTTAATCATAATTGAGTATGTGTTGGCGCTTATGTACCTAAATCAATACAAATTTACTAAAAGATGACAATCACAATGAAACATTTATTGCGGCATATATGTTTAAAAGAAGTTTTTCTATCAAAGTATTCCTCAATTATTATTCCACAATTCTAATTTCAAAGATAAATCTTCTTTTGATCAAAATTTTAACACCAAGAGGCACTTTTAATATTAAAATTAATTATATATTCACTTGAAGGGCTGAGCTTATAATGTAAGAACAGTCTTTACAGTTTTAATTTTATCGTAGTTAGTTAGTTAGTTGTGGTGGAGGGAGGACGAGTCCTCCTCAATTTGCAAAAGAGCCGTTTTGAAACCACAAAAACCTCGTAGTAGTGATTAGTAGGGAGAAGGTCAGACTAGAACCAGCCAGAGGCATTTACAAAGGCAAGAATTTGACCAAAGCTGATGCTGGAGATATCGCCGAGTGAATTGAAGAATAGGGCCCCTAGAATCTTAAACCTAGTTTTGACCAGACCAGGACAAAGATACATCAAGTGTTCTGGTGTCATTTCTTCGAGAACTGGTAGACGCGCACTGCAAGAGGTACCACACGGTAGACCGAGTCTAGCTACATCCGTCCTATAGACCAGTGACCTGTTAAGATAGATATTAACCTAGACACCTCTGATTTGCCTCTGCAAATTAAGTCAGAGGATTTATATTTGGAATAGATTGGTCAAGTAGCCCTTGACCTTGGTGCTGACGCGGTAACGGTCCACTCACTATGTACCTGAACCAAAAAGTTTTCATAGATCAACCTTCGACCGTAGCTGATAGGGACAGGGATCGAAATATGGGTATCTGTGGAATAGGCCAATTTAATCGTAGTGCAGGGGAATTTTTTTTAAAAGTTAAACTTTTAACAAAAGTTTTTCTAAATATAATGTGTTGCAAAATGAAGTTCCTCATGCAGTCAATCCAAAGATATATATAACAATTACATATTTAACAGAATTTAAAGTGTGTCAATCAAACATCATATCTACAAGAAACAGTATTAAAGATGTTTTGAGTTTTCTCAAAAGTGGTAGAGCAAAAGTGCATTGTTAGTAGTCTTTCATAGAAATTTTAGCACGTAAAGATTTTGTCCAAGAATAGAAGCCATAAAAAAAGCTAGAGACATAATTTACTGGGATTAATTTCTGCTAAAGAGATTTATTGCAAGTATTCTTAAACAAAATCGACTGTGTCGATTAAAATATTCTGTCTATAATTTGAAGCAATAAAAATTTTATAAATTTTCTCAAAAGATACTATGCATATTATGATATTTGAAGCACTTTTCACAAAAGGCTGCTAATAGCAGTCTTTGCATTAAAAGTCCATTATGCCAATTAGAATGTTATGAGTAGAAGCAATAACAAAAGAATACACTCGCTTAAGAAAGTAAATATTTTCACAAAATAGTCTTGACTAATGAATTTAACTTAATTTAGAATTTAATTTTAAATGTTTATATTAGAAATTCATGCTTCGGTTTAAAGTAAACCTAATTAATTATATTTACAAATAGTTATAATATCAATATGTCTTTAAGAAGAAGTAATCTTTTCGAATAAGTGATTCTCGTGAAATATGCTCTCTATCTCGTACTTTCTATATGGTCATGTATTAAATTGTTTAACTGTATTTCTAATTACTTTACCTCTAATTTTGATTCTCAAATGATGCGAAAATGTGATTGAACATAATTGTATTTGCCACGGCAGTGCTATTTGAAGTATTGAATAATATCATCAATGGTCCGAGTTATGTCCGCGCAATATCAATTGAAATGTGTAATTAAATCATTATAGTCCGCTTCATTTCCAAACTACCTCCGAACTTACTCTTGCCACAAAACGGAATTCAATAATTGGATAGTGCATCAGAGGAATTCGTAATGAAAAATTCTTCGGATGTGATTATTTCATTTCGTAATGGAATTCCATTAAGGAAAAAAGATTTCAATTCAGGCAGAGGAAAAATTCATTAAATGAGGATTCAAATGCGTGATTATTTAATTCAGTATGTATAGAATAAATAAATACTTTTTGTGTTTAGATTTTATTCTATATAATTTTAATATGATATCATTTACTACACAGTAAATGAAGTCAAAATATATCATACGTATATGATGTAGAAATTTTATTAACAAATTTTAAATACTACTAAATTTATTATTTTCACCTAAGATTTTGTTAAAATCATATGTATTCTTCATGCTCATGGCTTTGAAGTTTATTTGTTATTTATTGAAATAATCAAAATTTCCATTATTTTATTAACTTCACAATCTGAAATAGAGATTAAATCCAAATTATTGCAATATAATGCACTTATTTGCATTATTATTATTTGTTTCTAAGAGGATTAAATTATTTGCAATTTATTGTACTTTAGTCATTTAAATTTGGCATTTAATCAAAAACTCACACTAAGTACTCATATGCAGTCACTTCATCACACTTTTGACAAGTATTAACAAATATAATGGAGAGCAGATAAAGTCATTGGGAACAGATTTTAAATCGATTTACGCATCATCACATCACGTATACGCAACGTTGCACCACAAGTTATTGCATGCAAGCATTTGCAAACATGTAAACATGCAATCTGCTTTACTATAGTGCAAAGTTTGAAACATATTCTAAAAGGTTATTTTGTTATTAATCAAAACAATTTGTTCCATATCACCAGTTGAAATTCAATAAATTCATAAACGAGTAGAAATTTGGTATTTTGTGAAAAGCGCTCCGTAAAAGCACTTAAATTTTGTGCTAAGCAATATTTAATGTGTTATTTGCAATTAAATTTATTTCATATGCTTGGATGTAGCAAACGTTTGTGTTAAAATTACACAAATTTTATTACAATAAATGAATAAATTTCATAGAGTGAATATTGTAGTTCTACATTTTATGAATATTTGTGTGCTAGTTTACAGATGATTTACGATAGAGTTTCAAATAGTTGTAGTTTAAAACAAAATATTTAGATAAAGTCTTTAATTTAGGTGTCGAAAAATAAATTTTTTTGCATTCTTTATGTATTTATATTATTTAAATATTTTTCATATATTTATTTAACATATTTTTAATTCTGTTTCAAATTAATTAAACCTATAATTATTCTCTAATACCGCTTTGCGTTAAACAATTTTGTTTGTATTCTTTATATATTTATATTATTTACACATTTTTATTTTACATGTCCTATATTATATATATAAATTAATTAAATGTCATAATTAAGTACTAATGTCGCCAAAGTAATTAATAATATGTTTCATTATAAAAAAGTAAAATATTGGTCGTGTTGTTTGCAGAAAATTTTCAATTATTATTTATAGTTCTATATAATAATTGTATGGAAATTTTATAGTTTACATAATTTAAAGTAAAAATATCTATATAATATATCAATTAAATATTCGAATACATAAATTGCAGATATATAATACATAGTAATAAATAGCAAATGCTTATTAACATAAACATAACACAACATACTTCTTCAATTTAAATAAATTTATTCAAAATTTCAATAAAATTAAGCATTAAAATTCCTGTTTTTCTCTTTTTATTTCTATTCGAACCCTTCTAGCTTTTAAATAGTTTCTTTTTGTCATAAGACGCATCAGATTAGATTAGATTAGATTAGATTAGATTAGATTAGATTAGATTAGATTAGATTAGATTAGATTAGATTAGATTAGATTAGATT